ACGCGCACACACGTCCCGGAGATCCGGGATACTGCACCAATTTGACGATTCCTTCTGCGCCGTCGGGCCCGGGGTGCAGGTCCAATTTAGCACAAACCCGGCTTTTGTTTCGCGTGGGGGGATCCCCCCGCGCGCGGGCCCGGGCTTCTGCGAGATTAAGCATCTCTGCTTGACTTCCGGGTGACGTGCCGCGGGTGCCCGGCCGTCTAGAACGCTAATGATTTTTTGCGCATCAAAACTTTTCGCGGGTTCCTCGGTGCAGTGATGAGCGAAGCCCGAGCAAACTCTGCGACATTTCCTTCCCTTTTTACTGCCGTACCAACAATTTCACTTCGTACCTCCGCTTCGACCTAGGCTCTCTGACACGGAATTATGGGATGAACGGAGTTGAATAATATCCAGTCAGCGGGGGCCATGGAGATACAGGATCGACTGTCTTCAACATGCGTGTGCATGCAGTCCTGCTTAGATGTGTTTTTTTCTTATGAATCATAATTCAAAATATATTTCACCAGGGTAGTCCAGTACAGTACTACATTGTCATTTATTTTTAAGGGATTTAAAATGTTCAGTGAGCAGATGTTCGAACTACTCACGGAATATGGTTTGGACGGCTGTGATGAATATGATAAGTTTTAAAAGTGTTCAAGGAGAAAATGCGGAGTATTAGATACAAATCCACAAATAATTGAGCCGTTGGAATCATTTGACGACCTCCGGTAAATGAGAGCTCGTGTACAATATTCGAAGCATTCGTCATCATTAAAATTGAAAACTTTCGAACCGAACAAACAATATGGTTCGCCCTTTGGTGTTTTTCGTCGTTTTTGGTTGTATTGCATTGCAATGGTGTGAGGTAAATGAACATACTGATCCCTTGTTTTTCAGCAGTTCATGACATTGTCGCACATCTCTACCATTACGAATTGAATGTCTCTATACTGTGCACAAGATGTAATGGAAGACCTGCACAAAGACCGTATTGCACCACTCAGGGTATAGTTTCAGATTTCTGTGATCAAGTTGATTTCCATGCTCAATCATCTGTGTAAGTGGAGTACTGACGCGCGTTTTTGTTGGCAATATTTGCCATTAACAATTGAGGGTTTCCACTTCAGTCTCAAATGTTAATGCGATCGAACTTTAAATAATGTAGCAATATAAAGCGTGATTTTTTTTCAAGGAAACGCGAATTGAAAGATGATTACGCACAAATCTGGAAGCGACTCATGCGTTGGATATTTTTTGATCGGAAGAAAGAAAAGTTTCTTATAATACAACTACAGTACATGCTAGGTAGATCGTATTATATTTCACTTATTTCAAAAGTACAGAACGAATATATAGAAATGTTTGATCAAAGCTGAGAAAAATGGAATATCGTTGCCAATAAGTACAGTATATATTTTATTTTATTTTAAAAGGCACATCATTCGCAGTAAAATTTGAGATGTTGCAAAATCTACTCTTCAATGACGGAGGGTCGTTTTGATCGCGTGAGGATACCAGAATATATTACCGTAGGTACGCATGCTGGTTCATTTTGTTCGACGAAACCACAGCTGAGTAGAAACAAAAATCTTGAAAATCTTCTGCGGGTCAGAAAACCTTCTGAAGACCTCCCAGATCAGTCTTGACGCCGGAATGCAAAAAAATCTTCCCCGGAATCAATTTGCACTTAAAAGCTAAAGTTTGCTACGCTGGAAGATTTAAAACGAGTAAAAATGTTTTGGCTAGATTGATCAGTTTTTCTGTATTTCTGGGCAATGGATTCAACAAAAATATCCCGGCTCCACCATCATCATACAGAGGGATGAAGCTTGCGATCACTAGGCCACAGTTCCCTCAGCAGTTCAATTCGTTCCTGGGTCTATCGTCACCTTGAGAACCCGGTTGGATCGATAGGCATTGCAATAGGCCCGATCCTCCAGCGAAACGATCCCTGATCTGAATGCTGAGCACACGCATGCTTTCCATACGTAGGAATCGTCCTAATTTATTGAACAAAAACAGGTGGTACGGTTCGGCGGAGCGAAGCGCGCGAGGCGGGAGGAAGCCCACGCCGCGAAATTTAAACCACCTCCCCGGGACGAAAACAGGATGTTATCCTTCCTGAAACCGAAGAAGAGTTTCGCGCAAAGGCGGATGACGAAGGCCTTGCACCCACGGAACATCGCTCGCAAGATGTAGCAGGGCAGAATTTTACATGGCGGCGCAGGACGAAGACAGCGAGAGGGACGAACGAAAAGGTCTCTCTCCCTTTCTCTTTGTATTTGCCACCAGCCTCGGCTCACTCCGAACAGGTGGCGTTGACGGCCTTTCTGTTCAAACTCAAAAAATAGAATCGCTCCCGAGGCCCCGTTGTTGTCTTCACGGGGATTCTTCCGGGGGGGGGGGGGGGGGGGGGTTGCGTCGAGCTGGGAATAATCATTTACTTGCACCGCATTCTATCCCCAGGAATATATCCATCACGCAAGACGAGAACAAACTTCGGGAATATTCATGGGAACGGGTTCTATGAGGCCTGCGCGTCGGGTGTTGGGCCCACAAAAAGTCAACAAACTTCTTCCTTGCAATGATGAAGGTCATCCATCACCGGCAGAGTGAAGAATTCGCAAAGCTGTATGTCCTGAAATCGGCGAACAAACCCGAATTGAGAGCAATTGAAACTCGCACACAGGCAAGTTGCAGCAAACATTTTGTGGTCAGACCGTTCATCACAATGATGAGTACCTGCAGTACTGTGCTGCAGTTTTTCAAATTCAATGATAAGTAATGGAGTGAAGAGTCTGTTGGTCTCAACGCTGATCCACAAAAAATGTGGAGCTGGATAATCCCACATGTGATGGTATTCCTCCACACAAGAATCCTTACGGAGGTACTTTTTCCGCATGTACATTGAATTTCACTCAGTGATAAGAAAAGATTGCCAAAACGGAAGAATATCCTCAAAATACCTCCGACGAAAACTCCGCCACAGCAATGAACCTTATACAGTAGATTTGTTCGGTATGTTAGTGACATCATTAGTCAACCTTATGCGGATCATCTCATACCAATACCGTTACTGCGCAATATTTTCAAGAGCGTTTGAGCATTTTTCGCTACATTTTAGACTCCATGGAAGATGATGCTTGGCTTTTCAGATAGCTGTAAGTGGGGACACTCATCAGGCAAAATACATGCACAGTTTATCAACAGCGTATAATGATTCATCAGAAAACGTTAACTATAGAGATAAAAACTGAATATGGACGCTGCTGTGTCCACAAATCGAGTGAGAACCAAAGGAGGGGTTATTAAAAAGGATTGAAACACTTTATTATTCCAAGCTAGAATGAAAAAGAATCAATGATGTTGAGCACTTTCTCTTCAGCATGGATCTGCCGTTTTGGATATGCAATGGGATTCAGATTTTTTTTTATCACAAATTACCAGAGAAAGGGATTCTGGGGTGGCTCAAGAGGCTGTCATTAAAATCAAGCACAGAGAAATAAACCATTGATGAGTTGTTCTTGCTTTTTGCAGCATAACCTGCAACAAAAATATTAAAAGCTTTCTGGCCAAGAGTCTGAATTTTAATGTATGTGAACTGAATTTTAGTTCACATGTCACATGCTGCACAAAGAATTATTCAATTAAAATTGGTTTATTTTCCTCTTTATTCCACTTGCCTTATTGACAGGGACAGACAACGTTTTTTTCAATATTGCCCTCGTTTTCAATTTTTTTAAATGAAAAACAAACAAATGTCGTCCCCTTTCTCTCAATTTGCGATTGATCATCAGCCAAAACTATATTTTCAACAGTAAATCTTGTATTTGTCCGATTTTTACCCAAACAGTTCCCTGAAAAACTTGTTTCAAAATCTTCCAATTATTTTTCGAGGGAACTTCTGCCAATCAGAACGTATGAACGAATCTTTGGGGGAAGGGGGTGTTGCTCAGTTACTCTTTTTTTCATAGCCAATTTGAATACGAAGACAATTTCAACGAATCAAATAGCAAAGATCACCAGTCTAAAAATATTTCAAGAATCCCTCAACATTTTTTTGATTTAAGATGCATAATCTCAGTTCAGGCATTCGTCACCGAATCCAGGTTCCTTACCTCAGTAAGCTTCAACTGCTTAGCATGTTCGAATCACACTACTATAATGTTCAAATCATTCCGGGATCTGATGTAATACCCAATTCCTGCACCCTCTCATCCCTCAACCCATGATTAAGCCCGCAAAAGATCTGGTACATGTACCATATTTCAGGTGGCCGCCTACGACCCATATACAGTTATAAGCTCGGTCGAAAAGCCATGCTCTACTACAGTCCAAAGAAATGATGGCCCTTTCGTGACTTAAATTTTTTTTCAAGTCCTAAGGTTTCGCATTGAATAAGGAAAACAACGCAGCAAGGAAATGCAAACGAATTATAAAAAAGTGAGAATACAGTATTTCTGTCATCTGCTTTTCTTCAGAGAATGCATGTCCAGTTTGCGTTTGAGACATCTGCCGCATTCCTCAGGTGAGCTGTGAGTTTGACTGAAAAGCACTACATATAACGGCTGGGCCCCGAAAATGTTGAAAAAAAAGTAGGGAGAGAAAGATGGTGCGCCAAAAATAGCGCGAAGGCGCGCACTGCTCAGCTTCTTTCGTTAATTAGCTCCAACGCGTCGGAATGACTTGATTGTAAAGGAATTCCCGGACGAAGCACGTTCTCGCATCGAAGAATTCTAGTAGTTGTTGATGGAAGTTCAAATAATTTCGATCGACCTTTGCTCTCATTTATTCTTCAGGTCGTCAGCAGCAAAATTTTATCTGGAACAACTCGGATGTGGTCGGAAATTTTCCGTTTCTCACGTATTGAAAATGTGAATGACTACCACGCTGTTTTTGAAGGGTGGTCTGCAACTGTGTTGCCTCTGTGTTTTCATCAGGAGAGGGGTGGGCAACTACTGTGCAGAATCCGAAAATGAAGCTGAGAGGATGTGCGCAAGATTAGGAAGATGCTCGCGTGGCGGGCTCGGGATTCTACGGCAGGGCAGCAACCCGGCTTTGAGGGGTCCTCATTCTCCTTCGAAGCCCGTACAGAACGCGATGGGCGCCGGATCCAGGTTCTGGAACCTCAGGCTAAGCGCATCCTGAACATGAATGGTGCATTGTTTGATAAGTGGATTACAAACGTTCCCATTAAGCATGATCTGTGTTTTGAAAAAGGACGAAAGGTCCTTTGTGGTGATGCCGGTTCGCGATTTCCTGCAATTCGTGCGAGGTATTGTCCGCCATGTGCTGAAATTCAAGTGACCGTGTCATTTTCACAAGAGGTACGATTCAAACGTATTCCCGGTCTTCCTTTCACTAAGAAGTGGGAAGAAATGCATGCATATTCACATCTGGAACCTTTGTCTCATCGAACAAGGTTGATCTGTTCGACAAGATCCGTGCAATCGGCGATATGTCGTTCTGTCCCGAAATGTTGTGCTGTACTTTCAGTGAAAGTCGTATCGCTTGGAATTTTTTTGCAAACAAAATGATGACTAACCAGTATAGAAAAGTACTAATGTTCTTCCTGTCGGCGATGATATTTCGCGAGCCCGCAAGTCTCGATGCTTGCCCGCTCCAGGGTTGCTAGAACGCCGGACGAGGAAAGAGAAGTACAATTTGTCCGCGAGACTCATAGATGTCAGCATTGAGCTTAAGAGAAAGTGGAACGTTGGTTCATGGAGGATCGAGGGAGCGAGCGGTGAAACATGGCGGCGCCCCATGCGATGGAAGTGAGGCTTCGAAGAGTTTGTTAATCATCCCTGCCCCAACTGCAGTATTTTAAAATGTACAAGAGCACGAAATATCTCGTTCAGTAATGTGTGAACATGGAACTTTAACAACTCGAATTATATTCCTTCTAAGTCGGTGAGAAGGGTTCAACAGAAAAGCTTGAAAACATTTTATGTTCGGCCCAGTTCTTATTCCATTCCTTCTGAAAATGTATCGCTCCAGGCAGCATCCACCCCCATTCGTTCATTGTCCGTGAGTCATATTCATGCCACCATTTTGCATAGGAAACTTTTCGCAGCCTGGGAGGTTCATGGACTAGAAAATGGAAAAAATCGAAGGTGGAAGTGTCTGCTGGGAAGTATTTTTAATGGGACAGTTCTTACATTATATCTGAGGAATTTTTTCAATGACAAGAGGTACAGATTTAAATTGGTATGATGTAGAAAAGTAGGAATATGCGAGTTAAAAACCATCAAGAAGTCGAAGTTTATTTGCTGCTGGTTCTGCGTGCCGCACGGATGTCGTTTTGTTTTTAGCAGCACAGTAAATCAGGAGTACAGTGCATCAAAATACCGTACAGGTGATACGGTAAAATTGCCGATATTGCTGATGTGCCTTCGTGCACATTTCGAATGAAAACGAACATCGCCGGCTGCATAATTTTAGAATTCAGTTGCATTTCAGACAGGGACTGAGCGATAAAATGTCTATTCTATAATGGCAAAGGAATAATTTGATGACAATTTAATGCCACAACATTTTATAAAATTCCAGATGTGCTGAAAATGTCGCGGATGGGGAGTATCCGCAATAAGATATGCTCTATTCGTGTGCAGAATTGACGGGAAGATTTTGATTTTGACTTCAAGATTCTGATTGATTAAAATCTTGAATTTTTAACTTCAGTAAATTCACCGTACACTGCACTTTGCAGATACACTCCATACGGGGCATTTCCAGGTTATCTGCAATCTGAAAAAATGTGACTAATCGGTGTTGGATCTGCGTCCAAATATTTTGTGCCATGCTCGCTTGGATTAAACAGCTCAAGTTATAGCAAAGTATCATGTGTCAGGCCTAACATTCTCTTGAGTTGGGCTGTGCTGCCAAGATAAATTTTGTAAGTTCATAGGCTTGGTCGGCTTATTCATTCACAGGTTATGCACAAGTCCAATTTATCCGATGAGTGCAAAAATTCAGGTTGAACGTAGACATCCTGGCGGACTGAATAAAAACCGTACATTATACAGGAACTATGTATTATTCCTGAATGGACCATCGTGGGAACTCATCCTCAGCCAACCCATGATGTCGGCGACGGTTTTCCGAGTTGCTAGCCTGAGTGGGTGACAGTGTTCTCGTGGCGCCACGAGTCGCCTGTCCATCGGGGTTGGGATTTCGGAAGCGTGACTCGCATGCATCCGCAGTGGTTCCGGGCCATTGCTGCAGGCCGCGATTTGCGCATGCACAAGCGAGGATGCGCGACTGCAAACGGGGATCCTGTTCCTTATTTTTGTTTTCCCTCTGAGAGTCCGTCACGCTCGCTACGTCACCGGTCTCAACGCATGAGAATGAAGCATACGAACTTGCATTATTAGCTTCGTGTGTATCCCCTTGGAAAAAGAAGAACCTCTCGCGCGAGTGGCTCAACTGCTTTTTGAAAGCGGGAATGCGCGGTATTTATTTGACGCCATCAGCGCTGTCAGCTAGCTGAGAAGGGAAGAGACTGACAATAACAGACTCTAGATTGAAAAAGTTTTCTCTGATCAAAAGGGTCGGAGCACCTCGAAGGGGTTCTAAAGAATATTCATCAAGTTTTCACATGCTTTTCAGTCTCACGTACTAAATTGATTCATTTGACGGGTTCAGTTGAAATAAAACAAGGTAACGTGTTTTAAAAGAAGAATAAGAGAAGGGACACGGTAAAAATGCTTCACTTAGAAATCGATGCTACAATTTTCAAAAACGGAAATATGAATTGATTATCGGGATTTGTGTATTGAGGCTCTTCATCTGATGATTTCAGTTCGCAGTTGCACCTCAAACCCAAAATTTGATCAGTTCCGGTTGAACCTAACAGATCCTAATGCGATTTTGGAGACACTGATTCATCGCCTATTACAAAATCTTGGACTTCGAAACTTCAATGAATTGAGCGTGGAAAATGAAGCATGCTTTCGTGGAGGGCATCTGCAGGTTATCTGAAGTAGAATAGGAGTTGATACTCACTTGCTTTTATTACAGGATTATTTCTTTATTTTGAAACTTTTCCTGGAACAGTCTCTCTCTAAACCTCAACTATTTTCAAAATTTTGTTGCCTGAATAGTGTGCGAAATATTTTCAAAAACGCGTGGACAATGAAATACATTTTCGTAATTTAATTGATAAGAGTAAATCTGATCTACTGTAGTGCCCTTACGGACAACTGCCAGATCAAAACTGACATCCAAGCAGCATTCATCACCAGCTAACAAACTTCTGAATGCTTGATAGCTTCGAAATTGTATCTTTCTTATCCTTCTGCTCTTAATTTATCAAGCTAGTCACAGAGAACAATGATCGTGAAAATTTTCACCTATTTTTAAGGGATTTCAATTATCAAGATCAACTCTGGAAGAAAGCAACTGTTTGTAGTTAAGCAGGATGATTGATGTTCAATGTCATCAATATCTCAGAAGGAAAACGCTCGGTTCTCATCTCTTGATGTGTTTTTGAACCACGAACGCTGCATAATTTTTGGGAACCTCGTGACTTGACTTCGTTCTTCTTTTCACACTCCCACATGTCCAGGATATTTTACGGTTTACGCCGTCAACAGAGAAATGCCTGCAGTGCAAGTTCATCGACGGTGAATTTTCTTTTATAGGGGTCAAAGGGCGAGACAAGAATTCAGGAATTTTAGTTTGGGAGGGAATTGTTTTGCTTTGTACAGTATTTCGGTACAACTGAGGAGTATAGAAGAGCGACCTTAACCAAGTTTAGGGTTAAGTTTTCCCCAGTGTATCTGATCCACAGGGATGACGAAGTGTACATGGAGCCTGAAATATGTCTCCTATCCCCGGGAATCCGCTCTGCGGACTCAAGTCAGTGATGCGCTAGTCGGCGAGTGGAGGCTGTGAACACTGCTCACCCGGGTCTCTGAGAGGAACATGGCTCCCAGCAAGGGACGGGTTCTTCCTGGCGTTCATCCCGGGGGTTGTAGGCGTGGGAGACGCGAGTGGTGCGGAGAGCGGTGAACGGGACAGGCGAGAGGGCTCCGTACGCTGTGCTGGGCATCACCTTTGTCGGTTGATGGTGATTCATTCAAGGAAACGTCGGAGGGTTCGCGAATAACGGTTGTGACGTAAATGGCTTGACCCGGACGGGTTTTAGTGCGAAACTTGTGAAATCAGCTGGCTCGGGTTGTGAAAACCATGAAATATTTTCTAATTTTTCACTGTAATTTTTTGTTGTGCATGCTCATAAGCTTTTATCTCTTGAATCTACCGAAAGAGCTCGAGTCGAATCCTAACATCGTCTTTTGAAGCAGGTCTCCATGGTTTTTCTTGTGCCCAGAGGAAAATTCGTGACCTCCGTGCTGTACTGAATGTTTATATTGATGAACAGCGAAATTGCGTTATTATGTGCTCGCCGTATTTAATTAACATTCAAGTCCACATTCCCGAAATGGAATCACTATAGTAGATAGAGAAACGAGTTGATGAAGAGAACTGAAAAGTCTTGACTACTTAGGGGGATGACACTGTATGGCAGCACCTTCCGGATAATCAAAAATTGCAGATGATCGAAGAGCTTTATTATTCGAACATTTGACGCATATTTATGCGAAGGACACCTGTTCTGGTGGGAGAGAAGTGGATTTCCCCGGTGTTCTCAAGCTAAAAGAGTATTCGTATCAAAATTTGATGGGATAGCGTAAAAGACTGACTGATGGGGCGACTTTGCAGTGACAAAAGAGCTTTGAATCATGCAAGAAGACTTCCGATGTTTGGATGACAAAATTTGAATGAGTACGTATAGCCCGGGTACTTTCCTCAAGATCTTACTGCTCTTCAAATTACCTTGCGTATTTTGACTTTATCCTGACAGGGAGGTCTTCCTAGTTTGAACTTGTTTTCTGTTCGGGTTCAGTAGTTGAGAAGAAAAATGGATTGTGTGGATGAAATATTGAAGAATTCACTGTATGCACTTAAAAAGTGAGATATCGTACATTGTGTACGATATATCTTTCGTATCACATATCTCATTGTGTTTTAATTATGGAGCGTTCCATTGCCTTTTTAAAGTGACGCACCAACGAGTTTTTCGTGCTCAGTTTGCGATATCTGCACGGTGAACGCGGGATTCGGATGATGAACTTGGGGGGAAGAGTGCTAGAATCCGGTTTGGAACACCGAGGTTTTTTAAATTTTCGTTCGAACTGAAGCCTGCTATAGCGTATACCTGATGTATCTACTTCGCGTTAGCGATGACCAAGATGACCGTGGAAGTCTAGAAAATTTAGAGCATCAAATATAGCGCCTGCGTGTATTTCATCGCTAAGTTCGAGAAATGAAAGCCCCGAAACTGAGAAGAAACGTGGATCGAATTCTTCCTTGGACACTCTCTCACAGTTCGGTAGTGTTTCACAGCATCGGCGTGCATAGCTCGGCAGCTCAGTCGCATCGACTCTACGCATTGAACTCGGATTACTTGGGCAATAATACATTTATTTCTTTTCTGCAGCCAACATGTACCAAATTACTTGAGCTGTAGTTTCCGTGTCTCCCGAGAGGCCCTTGACACCCGTGTCGTGTTCTTGTGCGATCTGTTTCAGTTTTCTGTTTTTACGGTGCCAACTCGCAGGAACAAGTCGCGCGTATCGGGGTTTGTGCGGTGCAGCGGGGGGAAATGGTGAGGATTTTTGAGTTGCTGGTGTCCATGATCGTCACCGTGTTTCGACGCTGATTTCTATGGTATGCAAATAGGCTCTTCCCGCTTGGTAACGCTTTTTTCTAGCTGCAAATGGGGTTTTAAGTGAATCTCATGTGAACTAATATCTATTGTGATGCGTGCCTCTGACTTGTTCCACTAATCAAAATGATTCAGTGCAGAACTTCGAATTTGCATAAGAGACGTTGTTTATGAAAAGATAAGAAGGATTATTTATTTATTTTGTCAAATCCTCTCAGCAATATTTAGTTTTTTCTGCTCATTCCTCCAAAATAATCTGCTGAGAATGTGTCCTTATTTATGTTGGTTGTGAAAGTGGGAAAAGCCTATTCAATGTTTTGCATAGTGCCGTTTTTTTCGTTGTGATCTATTAAACCGTTGCATGTCATCTGAGTCCTAGAAAATACAAAGAGCTCGATTGTGTTTGTGAAAGAAAGCATGCGCATTTATTATCTACCCCAACCTAATTTATATTAACTAATTACAGTATAATCAAATATTAGTCCCGAGTCTCTCTCAAGAGTTCTTGAGGTGGAAAAATCGCTCTGAATGCTATCGTTTTGGTCGAATATATGATGGGTGAGGCATGGAGAAAAGTGTATTGGGTCGGGCCCACTTTTGGACGCGACCTAAATTTCCGCTAATGTACAATAGTGGAAGAAATACACTGTTGGAATCTGTTTAAATTCTCAAGTTACGGAAGTCCCAAGAATGAGTCGAATGACGTTTACAGGACACATACGATTGCTACGTGTGTGGGTTTCGAAAAAATATGCAAATCGAGGAATTAGTGTCCAGGACAGCATCAATATCGTCAATTAGTCAAACTTATCAGACGGGACGATTACTGATATGCTGCATTGCCTTATGAAATTAATTTTCCATTATGAAATTGATGGAAAATTAATTTCATAAGGCAATGCAGCAGTACTGTCCGATCTGTCTTGTTGGTGATGCATAATTTTTCTGTAAAATGATAAGCTGCGCATTGCGTATTCAATATTTGAGCGGCTTTTGAAATTCTGAATCCTTGCGTTTGCTGATTTTGACGGCATGTCTGAAGCATTTCAGTATGTAGTCTTGCATGACCGCTGTGATCGCTGTGCTGCATTCGCTTGGAAACTTCGAGCATGAATTAGGATTTTGGGATCAAGTTTTCTGCGGAGAAACACAGCAAAGTGACCATGACTGCTTCTTGTCATTCATCGATGTCGTCGAGGCGTCTTCAGGGGACTTCAGCATGACATGAGTTGTTTATTTGCTTTGAGTCAAAGACTGAGTTTGGTTTCTTGTGTTTCTGAAGGACGAGTTCCATCCGTTCATCGAAGCTCTCCTGCCGCACGTCAAGGCCTTCTCTTACACCTGGTTCAACCTCCAAGCTGCGAAACGGAAGTACTTCAAAAAACACGAGAAGAGAATGTCACTCGAGGAGGAGCGCCGTACGAAGGAAGAACTCATGGTATTGTACTTCAGCTCTTACAACTCTGAAGACCGTCGCTACTTTCTCGTTATCGAACTCAACTCTTCAAACTTCAGAAGTTCCCTCGAATTTTCTTTATGCGTTAGGTTCGAATCATTGATCCCTATATCAGCTAATGAGTGGATCAGTCTGACGGGAGTGTTTTTTGAACATACAGTACTGTACATCAGTTTGCCGATGGAAGGCATTTTAAAATTTGATGTCTGGTTACTTCATTGAAGCAGGCTCCATTTTAATTTAAGAATCTAAGGTGAAAGCAAGGCAGTGCATCTCCGGAAATATGAGAGGAAGTGGATGGTACAAATTTAGATCCTAAGCATGAAGAGGAAGGGAAAGTCGAGGGAAGCGCAAATTATGCTGGTGTGTCGGGTGTCTGAGCGGGTTAACGAAGATGTGGGAAATTTATTCTCTTCAGAGTGAGAAGCCAGAAGTTAAACAGAAATGGGCCAGTCGGCTGCTCGGAAAACTCAGAAAGGACATAACTCAAGACTGTCGCGAAGACTTCGTGCTGTCTGTGACCGGGAAAAAGGCGGCGATCTGCGTGCTGTCCAACCCGGACCAGAAGGGGAAAATGCGCCGCATCGACTGCCTTCGCCAGGCAGACAAAGCAAGTCACTTCCTTTGAAATCGCCCGTTTCAATGCCCTGACGCAGCGAAATCTTTGTTGCAGGTTTGGCGCCTTGATTTGGTCATGGTGATACTGTTCAAAGCAATTCCTCTGGAGAGTACGGATGGCGAGCGATTGGAGAAGTCCCCCACTTGCCTTCATCCTGGTCTATGCGTGAATCCGTTCCACATTAATGTATCCGTCCGCGAGTTAGACTTATTCTTGGCCAACTATATCAATATGCACGGTAAATATCTTCTTCTCGTATTCCTGCCTTCCATTTTAATGCCTAATTCAATTCGAGTTACCAATTTATCTTTTGTTCAGCCTCTTATTACGAAACTTCCGAACAATGTTCTAACGATTGGTAAAGTACAGTAAATGCCTTTGAGATACAGTACTGCATAAGCTGAAGATAGCATATAAGAGGTACACCGGGACAGTGTGCATGCGCCTCAAAATAGCAGCATTCCGAACAGTGAGTTTCCGCAACTTGAAAAGCCAAAAAGTAAAAAAAGATCACAAATTAAAGGAAAAGTGAAAACCATACCCATTTAAGAGAGAATCCATTACTGTATATTGCGCGACTGATATATAAGGGAGAGAAGTATAAAATCTTGTTCGTGAAAATTCGTGACGGCTTTTTTTGGGAAAGGCTGTCAAGGTAATTCTAGCCTAACCAATTTGCATTATTGTCCGATCCTGATCATCGATTTTGAGTATTGTGATAGAAACTGTTCTGAACGACTGCTCTTCTGTACTACGCTGTTCTGTGCATCCGCTAATTTGGGACGCACTCCTTATACGGATTTGCCAAATGGGGTTTCTCTGAACTTTCCTGTCATGTGCGTAGATATGGATATAAAATGGCATTTTAGCGCGCTGCACTGATGGTGGGAGTTGCAATGTGCTGAGAACAATTCTTGTGGGATTTTCCTTACAGATGCCTTGAGCGGGCTCGTACCTGAGAAGTCCGTTTGTGATGAGAAGCACAATGCGAAATACAAAGGTAGTTATTTGAAATTTCAAGTTAATTTGTGTTGAATAAAATCCTGTTTTATGTCACCCAGGGGATTTCTATGCAGGCAATACGCAAATCAACCCGTATTGTGGCATCCAAGACCCGACGAATACCATCCTAGCTGCTGGCGTGTTCACAGCCTTGGAGCTATGGCGTCTTTCGAAAGGTGAGTTCGCATAGAATTTAAGCTGACGAGCAACGTGGCTTCTGGCAGGCACTAGCAAATATTATAGCTCAAGAAACGGGATTTTACGGCTCGCCTCAGAGACGTTAATGATTCAGAATTAGTGTTTGAGGATTTAAGAAGATTTTCCCGATATCTGATTTTACCATCGAGCAATGCCAAACTATGTTTATTTTCTAGTGCCTGAAACTTCGGAATCCAGCGTGGCAGATCATACAAGTGCGTTGACGTTGATTATTGTGGCTTGTGGATTATTGGGCACTGTTGAATATTGGTAGATGCATGGCCTTACCCCTGTTTTTTTTTTTTTCAAGTTTGACGATGTATTTCTCAGGCTTTTTTTTCCTGAATTTAACTTCCGGCTTGTTTTGCAAATTAAATATCCGCTTGAATTTTCGAAAGTAATCCGACAGTGTTGTCCCACACGAAAGAAATCAAACTATTTGTGACCGGGCTTTCTTGATTTTTCCTTGCAGCTTCCATCATGCACGGCAGTGCGAACAGCGTCGGCATCGGCATCGATGGTCCAATCCACAACATTAAGATCGAGAACCCGCCTCCAACATACTACAACAGCTACAGTCCGACGAATATGGATACGCACGGAACGCTGCTCTCGGCTTCGCCTTACAGTTAGTCAAATTATCTTTTTTTCCTTTGTGACGTCATATTTTTGGGACTTCTGGGTCAGTCGCTGGGAACATGAACTTTGATTGACACGCATTTCACAGGGAAAATTTAACCTATAGTTCGCTGCATACAATTTCTAGGTCATTGGAACGTTTTTCTTTCGAGATAACTTATTTACAAATGGCTCAGAAATACCTCTCAGGGCTTATGTGAGCAATCAGAAATTCCAAATGGGCGTCTTGTGCATACTTTTTTTTCCTGAGAATAACTGTATTCGATGTATTCACTCTGCGTCAACTCATATCTTTTGCAGTTATTCAAAGAAAAATTGTATTGTTCTCACTTTCCGTAAATATGATCGCTGTATTTCAAGTCTATTTACTTTTACTATCTGACCAGGATTTGAAGGTCAGACTAGGCGCGTGGTTTTCATAGCTCTGTTTTATCCTTGTTCTTAGTCGTTTTCTTCTGGATAATTGTAGATGCATAATGATAATTTTTCGATGCAGAAATATTTTTACGAGACGGCCGACCTTTTTTTCAGCTAATTTTTTTAATCAATGTCTTTTAAAAGCCACAATCGCAATTGTGGTTCTTGAAAAATATTCCGTGCGGTTCAGTATGTCTCAAAAAGTTATCAGTGGTCTCCAAAAAATGAAGGATGCGCCAAAATGATCGTAGCCATGACCTTTCATTTGGAAGCAAACTTTTATTGAGAAACTTGCTGCATGTAAAGTAAGTCTTATTTTTTCGAAGAATGACATCAGATCTTGATGTGTAAAATCTTCCAGCTGTCCCCGTTCGGACGGCTGCGAATTTTTTGATCCTACTCGAAATCTTCATTTCTGTGCAGAAGATTTCAGAATCACCAACAATTTTCGCAGCGTGGCCTTGGGATTTTTCATTACATTTCAAAGCTTAGGCATGAAGGTCGACGCCTGGAAGGCGTTGAAAATCGAACTAAAATATACTAGTACTTTAGCTAAAACTCCAGTAATGGCCCCCTAATGACTCTCTGTTTCCATCGGCGGGCGAATTTTTTGCAGCGGTCAGTGTTATATCCTTCCAAGGCATAGGCATCAGGAAAAAGGGGCATTACGTTTCGAGAGCAAATGACTGAAGCGTCGCGTCACAGAGGCGAGAAGCAGCGGACCGTGGATGACCCCCGCTGCTGATCTCGGCTTCGTTCAGTCGCGCTTGTAGAATTAATGAGGCGTGCGGAGAGACCCTACGCGACATCAGGTCGCGCTTAATATCTCTGCGTCGCCGTGGTTCTGCGAAAAGACAGAAATGTCCTAAGAATCAGTTTTTCGAGAATATATTTTATTTTTTCCGAATAAGAAAAGAAGAGCACTGAAATGGTGTCCTGCAATGCGAAATTGCAATTTGGAATTGATCCTCGAGGACAGGAAAGGCGATCCCATCGATTACGAAGATCGAGGCGAATTATGATTTCGTCCAGTGCTTCCCAAGTCGTGGCCAAGGGTCATATTAGTACATTTTTGTGGCCAAAAGACTATGTGGGCCACAATAGACGGCAATTTTTTAGATTCAAAAATATCCCCTTTTATGTGCATAATTTCAAATTAAATTCAATGGTGTGCATTGAATCACAGGATAATAATTCATAATTTTTGAAGGATGGAGCAACATCTTGAAGTTTTAAAGAAATTTTTCGAAGTAAATTTCGATCAGTGGTGCCTGCCACCTTGAAAATTATAGGGAAGGGACTACATGACGGATGAAGAGTCTCTGCGGGCCGTATTTTGGTCAGCACTGATTTAGTCTTCAACCCATGTGTCTCCCGTGTGTACTGCGCATGCATTTCTCCTTGGTTATCCACAAGAACTGGCCAGAACACGAAAAGATTCCCCGCAAGAAAAAGTATTCGGAGCCAAACAGGAAGATGCACCCAGAGATACGCTCAAATGAGTGAAGTAAAGAATCCAGAGAAGACTATGGGCTGTTGAAATCAGCAGATGATATTTCCATCTGTTTCATTTATTTATTTTGAGGCTTCTTTCAACTACTGCTATATCCGTCGTTCAACCTGTTGTATGAGGATCCTGGAATGTTTGTCGTTGACACTTTGGATCTGTACAGACAGTGCATGCGACAAAATTGTTGCGAAATCTCGGATGATAACGTGAAAAACGCATTAGGACGCTTTGAAGAGTTTATAATTAATCTTCGAGTGTTCGTCGAATCGAACTACATTCAACGTAGTGTCTAAATTGGGTACTTACTTCCTTACTTCAAAAACATTGGAGGTGCTGGAGGCAAAGTTCGATACTCGCTTGCATCTATAGAATATTTATGACTATTGTGGGATTACCGTATTTACTCAAGTACAAACGCCCTCAAGTACGACGATGAGTATCCCAATTTTTAGTCTAAAATCCGGGGGAAAACGCATCCCCGCGAAAGACGCGCTCCTCAATTCTACTCACAGAATCGCAATCAAAACGGCTTAAGTCAATCCTGGATCCTTGATTCATTAGACGAAAGCTAATCTGATGCTTTTTAGAACATTTAAAAATAAATAAACTGATGAGATCTCGATTCGGCAAATGAATTTTTTGCATAGTTTGAGAATCGTTCAACAAATTAGTTGATCAACTTGTATACTATGCATACCAAGGCAGTCTTTTCTTCTTGGGTTTCTCGTTTCAATTATTTTTTCAAATCTGAAGAAAATATTTTCGCTTTTTTATAGACTTCGAATGAGCAACCATAATGTGAAAGATGGGAGTAAAAACCATGAACTATTGAAGAACTTGTGAAGTTTCTTGTTTCATCGTTTTGAAATGTAGCATTTTTAGTTGAAAAGTAGCAGTTTTAGTTCGTTCGGCATGTGAAAAATCTTTCCAGACTTGAGCAACTTTTCCCATAGGACAATTTTATTTCAAATATTTATTGCAGCCTGAATATGGTGGATTGAAGCAAAATTTTGAAGCAGGCAGGATCAAGCTTTAGTTGATACAGTAGTCTGAAATTGGAATTTTCCTCTCATCGTTTTTTAGAGAAGTGTGATTTTAAATGAGTCGAAATTTATTTGAAGACGAGTATGGCACACGCCCGACATTTCTAAAACTGGATAAAAATATTTATACCCGCCTATGACGTGCATCTTACTTTCTTGCTCTAAATTTTGAAAAAAAACGAAGGTGCGCGTGGTACTCGGGTAAATACCGTCAGGCAGTGCTAGTGACGTCAATGAACCGATCATTATGCATGGCATTTAATGCAACGAGGGTTAAATTGAATGCCTAGAATTCCATGTTAGATGAACAGAACAAAAACTACTTATGCGCCGCATTAAGTCTTTACAGACTCCGGAGATCTCGTCATATGTTCCCGAACCTGGTTGAACTACATGTATAATATTTGAAGTTCTTGGTGAGGTCCTCAGAGATTCTAGCTAAGCTGATATCTAATCATTGTGCAACGCCCGTGATGGTTTTCAACATTTTCTGGATTGTACCGCTACTAAGACATCGACTGTCCCTCCCAACTACCGTCAAAGGAAGTTCAACTAATGTCTTCAAAACAAATGGGGGATGTAGCAAGTCATAGCTATATCAGAATCCACTTATAAGTGAAAATGATGGCAAAAAAGGAGGCATTGGAATTCATGGGCTTGAAAGAGCGATGCGGATGCATTTTAACGGTTTGAAAAGTCTGCGGTATTATTCCCAAATTTCCCATGGTAAAAAAGGAACCTCATACGGATGGAATCACAATTTTATTGTTACATCGGACGATGCGATGTATCAGTGAAAAGATTTGTTGTAGTACGAAATCACTGATTATTCCAAGCAGTAGAAGAATACCTAATGATACTAAATTATTTTTCTGAGTACAGAATATTTTCCTTTATTTCTGGTCCACTCGTAGGAAAATTAATTTTAGCATATCTTCCAACAAATGGATTCTTCCAGTCCACTATGCAAGGAGATTTTATTGTGTATATTGATATTTATAATACCGTATTAATTCGAGTACCACGCGCCCACGAATAAGACGCGCACCTTAGTTTTTTTATCGCACAAATTTAGGAAAAGATGACATCCCGGCATAAGATGCGCACCTTAGCTTCAAGTTGCCAAAATTAATGGGCATTTTGAAAACTACTTGGGGTAAAAATCTAAAAGCTGACTTCAATGTTGATCCGTTTTCTTCTGAAAAATAAAGAATCATTGAAAAAAAACCTTGAAAAAAATTTAAATGTGGAAACGGTTTAAATTGAAAAAAAATACTGTACTGTAAACGTTGTAACTATCTATTACGTGCACCGCATTTTTCGCCCCTGTTTTTTTTTTCAAAGGTGCGCGTGGTACTTCAGTAAATACGTTATAAGAGCTGAAAAAGGTGGATTAGTATGGAGAGGGGTACTCTTGCCTGAAGCATATGCGGTCAATGCGCAGTTCAGAATCACTGCCTTTCCATGCCTTATGACTCATGAGTTGACAGGATCTTCTCTACCATGACGAATGATGTGAGCGAGGAAGAGAAGCTTCCACTCGTCTGGGGAGGGTGTATAAGACCTGGTCGAGTGGAAACGGAGTAGTAACAGCGTGGGTTTTTGGATCCATCAACCGCAGGTCCTCCGCATCTGATCACTGTCGGCGACACGGGGAAGATGGTGGTGAGCGGGATCTCGCTCGGGGTCGGCGTGGACATCCCGAAAAGCGAGTCGATGGGGTTCGAGCTCCGCATGGGCGGCCCGCAGCCGTCGGCAATGTCGCCTGCAGAAACCCACGGGAAGCCCGGACAGGGTCTCCACGCGCTGACCAACACCGGTCAGACCCAGGGCCACGTTCAAGCACTTACTGCTGCGTCCGTATCCGTTGCCATGCCGGTCCGTGCGCCTTCCTCAGATGAGTCGCTGTGTAGCGAGGATGGGCATCAGGTCGGCCTGTCTCCTCAACAAACGTCTCAGCATGGTGAGGAACATCATCCTTTTTGTTTGCTCAATGAGGAGAGCGCTTGTGAGAAAAAGCGGCGCCGCGCTGCAGAATGTCACCTGAGAAACGAATCTCAGGAATTGAGTATTACAGAGCCCCAAGAGGGCTCCCAACATTAATCTTCCAGTATAAGACGACAGGAAACCACCTTCAAAGCATGAATTTATCTGCGCAAGACAACCCCTTGTGCTTTACTCAGTAAAAATAAACCTCACAACATCGAAGAGAATCACACTGTTCACATGTAATAGAGGTCATGTGCAACCAATTGGAAGGTTTTGTAAGAATTCCATCTGTGACTTCATGTGTAGCACCATGAACTGGTTTTCCCCCCAATCAGCACGAAGGTGTATTGGAAATTCTATGCTTCACTAAGAATGGCAGAACAGTGTGAATGAAAATCGGCCCATCTTCGAAAACAGTCATTAGTGATTTCCCGCGGGTTAACCGCTAACTGCAGCGTTGTTGGAACCCGTCAAGTCACCTTTTATGTGCGGATCAAGGGCGGCTGTCAGCTTGTCATCATTACGTTCTTATGCTCGTGGCAGAAGAGCTGAAAATGTATCTTCCAATTAGCACGCCTCCATGAGCGAGGAAGAGAAGCTTCCACTCGTCTGGGGAGGGTGTATAAGACCTGGTCGAGTGGATTGGGACCTAAGGTTTTTTTTTTTTTTTTTTTTTTTTTTTTTTGCAGTTGGCAGAAGAACAATCTATTCTCGTACTCACTAGGTAAATTTTTGTCACACCTGGAATATATCACTCCGAAAGTAGGTTGAATCATCGGACGATGAAAGGAATTTCCATTCAAATGTTTGAAGAGTTCAAGGATATTTATCATTCGAGCGAATAACGATAACCGTGATACCGTGATGATGAGGTGGCGAGTAAATTATTCTCTCCCTGAGGAAGAGATTCATCTATTTCAACTTCCATTCAGCCAGCCCTTAGGTCAGATGACATGCATCAAAGCTTGTCTCAGGAAATTCAACTCAGCGAACCAAGTTTCTGCATAAGTTAATACCGACAGGTTGACAGTTTCGGGAGAATTCAAGCTTTCTCCGAAATGCACAGTTGCTGGAGGCCTTCGAGAATCCCCAAAACTTACGATTCTGACGAATGAAAACTTTACTCTTCGACAAATACAAACTTGTCTAGCTCATAGTACAACAGCGGATCAACATGATCAACCGTTGTCTGTTCCCATGTTTGAGTCGATGAAAGTCTGAAAGCACAATGAACAAGAAAGCATCCCAACATTTTCGCGCATCGGGCGCCGAAATTATATCCCTCAAAAGCTAGTCGAATACTATGCATTATTTCATTTTTCGTTTTTCGTGATCAGTCTTCGGTCGTATTAGCGGCGATCTTATCAGAAAATGTCAGCGTTGTAACGGAGGTAGAATCTAGTAAGAGGTCGGGAACTGGCTTGCAGCTGTCATCTGCATAATCGAAGACAACATAACACATTCTCAATCAATTCGATCATATCTGCAGAGTCAATTTTATCCCCCGTTCATCCTCGTTTGAATTTTGGAAAAAAATTCAATGACGTGAAGGAGCATGATCACATCGTTCATCTGAGGATGCAAATGTACCTGCCTACACATCTTTGCGCCAGTTCGGGTTCCCAGACTTACGCTGATAAAATTATCTCTTATATTTTGGATTTATCTCGTGATGCAATGAAAGTATCTCTATCTACGTTGAATCGACTAATTTATTGCTGTTCGTGTTCCCTCCAAGCCTATCAATAATGTTTCAAATTTCGAGGCATTCTGTAGATGTCGAAGACATCTAAACCAGGAACTGCAATCCTTCTCTCAGTCTAGACTCCTTGAGCGAAGCCGATTCTGGTGTCATTTGATTGGATAATTTTTCTGAAAATCACATCAACTTGCGGGTTGCCACCCGCGATGATCTCGAACCTCTATTAGTATTTTCAAAATTTCCTGAACTACTGCACTCAATTTTCATGAAATTTTTCATTTGCGTACAGTATTTGGATGGCATGTTTTTCTGAAATTTTTTAGGGGGTTATCGCATCGCAAAATTTTCGACTTGCACTGCTCCATCTTTTACTCTTCCATTTTTGCTCATCATGTTTGACGTACCTCAATGCGGCGTCAAGCTGATTTTGTTTTTCTCATCAATGAATACCGTAAGTTAATATTTTGACAATCTCTTTTACTAGGTGACGTTGACGAAATGCGTGACCCAGAAGCACTAGAAACAAGATCAGTTCGCGCGTACTGCATTTTATTTAAACTTTAAGAGCATGAGATCGAGGATACATGGGAAATTGATCAGCGAAATTTACGTTTTCTTCTCCCGTAGTGGAGCTTAATGGTGGGCTGACGGTGTCAGACTCGCATGGACTGCAAGTCGGGCACACGCTCGGAGTTACCACGATCCCGACGAGCACCTACTACTCCAACCACAGCCCGAGCAAATACCGCGAGAACGGCGACACGTTCACGGATTTCGTCACGCTGGTTTGCCAAGACGCACATGGTGCCCATTCGCCATCCCATGCCACCAACCTCCCGGTGAGTCTTCCACATCTGGTAGTTCCCGCTTGACGACTACCATGCTCGAACCCGGCTCTCGTTCAATTTTGGAAGTGTTCCCCATTCATATTATATGTGTAATGAAGTCTGCAGAAATAGACCGCCTTCACACCGTTGGTATAAGAAGACAGCATATCTTCATCGAACGCATCGAATGGAGTGATTCCATCAGCTGTTCTGTCGTGTTCCAATTCTCGAAGAGGGAATCCATTTTAAAGGAGTTCAATTTTATCGCTTATCGTCTACTGTAAATCAATACGATTTTCTACGGTTATTGTCGGATTCCCGGTAAAATGTATTCACTTGGTCTCAACAATGAAACATGGTTATTTAATGGATTCGTTCGCTGTGTACTCTTCCGCTTGTAAACCTAGTTTATTTAAAATCGCATCGTAAGTCGAAATTTTATTGCGGTTCATTAAAATTCAATAATTTCTGTAAATACTCTTGGACGTTCATAGGAAAATTGCCTTCGGTCATTCGGGAAGAAGGAACGAATTGATTTCGTCGAAGTTCAAAGATACCTACTTTTGAGTTAAAAGTATTTTTGCGTACATGTACAATTGTACAGGATACTGATTTCGGGATTCCCCGAGAATACGCACAGAGACGAATCACACAGCGACAACCACGCAGTGCGACAACTCGCACAGTTTTTTTTTTCCTACTGAACTTTTATTGTTTTACACTTAGGTTCAGGCAAATATGCATACTTGTGTCTAGATTCTTTTATGTCTTAAATTAATTCTATGCATTTTTCGTTTAATAAATTTAAATTATGGGGCTTGAGAACATAAAAAATGCCAAGATAAATTTGTCCATGGAGACATCTTATGAAGGAATATGATTCTGTCCGTCCTCAATTTTCTTTTTGATACTTGTGTTTTCAATCTTGTCAAGGAGAATTCTGATGCATGCATTAATCCATATTATAGCAGTCATTTTTATGGCTCACAGAATCAGCAATTTTCCCAGTCAGTTATTGATGCAAATATCATGTGCCAATTATATTTAGCAAAAGCACAAAAATGAGGCATCTCCACTTGATGCCAGATAATCTGCTGCGTATACATGACCATCCCAAAGTTGACTGGATAATGTAACAGAAGAATGGATCAGACTGGAATGCATTTGATTTCCAATGGCTTCAGAGGGGTTCTCTAAAAATGATTGATTGTGAAATGAAATTTTCGAATTTTTCTGAAGAAAAATTATATATTCAAAAATGAAAAGTCCATGGGAAATAACAGCATTCACAAGCCACATTTATAAGTCAATTGGTTTTTCCATATGCTGAACATCACAGCACAAACATTCTTCCACCATTTGACTCATGAATGTAGCTTATGATTTTCCATTTTCATTTCACAATCAATCATTTTTAAAGAACCACTCTAAAATCATTGGAAATCAATTGTCCAATCAAATGATAGTTGCATCAATAGCTGGGTGGGAAAATTGCTGATTCTGTGAGCCATAAAAATGATTTGGGGCTCAATTCTTAGACAGAACATGGAATAATGCATGCATCAGAATTATCCTGGACTAGATCAAAAACACAAGTACTGAAAGTTCCGAAAATTAAAATGCATACAATTAATTTACGACAAAAGAGGATAAAATTATCCTTTTCTGAATTGATAACGTAAGTAAAAAAAATTGGCATATTAAAATTGTATATTGCATTTTTAATGTCCTCAAGTATTTTTAATGTTCTCAAGCCCCATTTTGTTAATTTATAAAATAAAAATGCATCCAATTAATGCGGGACAAAAAATAATATAGTTGCAGAAAAGTTCATATTTGCTTGTACCTAAATTTAAAACAAAACATGTTCAGTCGGAAAAAAATCTGTGCGAGTTGTCGCTGATAACTCGCTGTGTGACTTGTTGCTGTGCAACATTGTCGCTGTGCGAGTTGTCCCTTCAACCTGATTTCGGTGGCCGATCCCGTGCTGGTCGGATTTTGCTTCTATATGAACATGTGTTGATCTCACGCAGACGGTTTTGAACGTGTCGACATCGTCATTGAAGCATAGCACAAAAGCAACGCTGCAGTACTCGTCAGCGATGCTTCCGCCGCCGTACACAACGACGTGTAGACCAGTGACGATCATTCGATCTCTCGGAGATTGTAAGCAAACATTTCCTTCCTGTTTCATTGGTGCGTCGCGTTTCAGAATACTTCTCACGCTACCGTCGTTGATGTCCGAGATGAGACATATACCGTAATTTTCAAGGCTCTGTTGCTGTCCCATTAGTTAGATGACGTTGATGCGGCGGGCAAACAGCCAGCAGAGCAATCGAATGATGGAATACGGAGAGCGAGAGCTCTCAACATTTCAAAAATTTCGAAGGGTGTGAGCGATTTTCTCTTAAAGTGGGAAATATTCGACTATCTTTCAGCTCAACGAAGCATTTTGATTTATTCTTGCGAAAATTAACGAGAATCAAATTAAGGATAAGATTTGTGGAGGAGGAATATGGCGGTGGCAGTGAATGGAAATCTGCGAGGGTGATGCGTCAGTAACGTCTGGCGGCTCTTGTTGCACAATCAGATTCAACGTTTGGCTTCGAATGTGCAGATGACGCGCACAACGGAGGACATGCCAGCGAGATGACAATCGGGCTGACCATGGACAGCACAACGGACCAATCACCACAGACACATTCCGAAGAAGAAGACAGCTCCGCCGCCGTCCTGACGCCGATCGAGACGCAGTCCCTGTCTCCTCAGCATCAGGGCCAAAACCATAATAGTCCGCCGCACGGATTGGGACACCCAGAATCTCACCTCCAGCTCCATTCCCAGCACGAATTGCAGCAAAACCCGGTGTCGCCTTCGGGCCAGCACGACCAGCAGATGCATTGTCGACCGCATTCCGGTCCGCTGAATACGAACACGGGTCCGAATGGCAAAGACAAGGTCGGCAATAACCGGCATGGCACCTCAGTTACAATCATGCGTCCCATTTCTCCCACTGGCTCTCCGCGGAACGACTACGCCTTTGCACATATCCACGGTGCTCAACAAAACGTGTCCCGTTCAGAGGTCAGCTTTCGAATTGACATACAGTATAAGACATTTTGTTGAGCAAGAACTCAGTTCCTCTCCGTGGCTCTCTGCCTGGTACCAAGGGTGCCCCAAAGTTTACATCTGTCAGACCGAAACATCGTTCGCAAGAATAAGAATATTTGGGTTTCTTAATATTTTCTTCGATCGTAGCACTCTCAATGCATGGCAATTGTTTGCGTACCACTGCTTGAAACGCCTGACTTGCACTACATTTGGAACTTCAGGAGGATTCCATGGAAGGATCAATGTCTTGAAAGAGAGACACGGGTGCAGGATAAAAATCCCGCCAGAGAGAAAATCCCGCGGCTCAAAAATCTCGCGGGAAATATCCTCAGAGTCAACAGGTCAATTCTTCTTTGGGAATGGCTAAATGCTGGAACACTGATAGAAAAACGGCTGAAATCAATCCATCTGGGCTCCAGAATTTTTGAAAGCCTAGAACTTCTTGAATTTAACCTTGAGGATTCCTGCATAGAAATCTGGTGAATGAAAGTTAACCTAAAAAGTGCATTTATACTTGTTTAATAATTCAGAATTCGTCTACGCAACACTGTATTGCCTACTCCAGTTACCAAACAAGGCTTTTTCTGATTCAGGTTGTGGGATTTTAAATCCTGCAAGATTTCCGGGCCTGCGGGATTTTTGAGCCGACAGATCTTCTCTCTCGCGGGATTTTCTCACGGAGCCGAGAATATCCTACAGTTTCAACCCAGATCAGTTCGACGGGTGGTAAAACGTAATTTTGAAAATTTCAAGTTCCGAGCTTTTTGTGGTTTCTCTATTCTGCATAGTATTTATTGCGATTAAACCCGTGATGACTTCGTCATTGATACATGATATAAGGTACTTACTATGAGAACGCCACATAATGCGTTGTATTGTACTGTATAGTACTGTACTGTGAATGATATTTCTACCTAATATGATTCTAGTGAATTCCCGTGATGCAAGTAGATGTCACTGCTAGTTACACTTCTGTACTACCGTTCACCGTACGCTACATCATGAGTCATAAGAATTCCACCCGCTTCAGGCTTCCTCCTATTCGTGCATGAGATGGAGTTTGAGGGTTATCAGTTTCTAGTGTAGCTGCATGGCGTGTTCTAGTCGAAAATGCTTTCTGATTTGCGGACAACATGATTGAACATGATGTGGTTGTTTAAAGGCAACTCTTGGTTATAACGTGACTTTCACAACGTCGATCAATTCAAACGGAACACTGGGTGTGAATGAGGAGGAGCAACAACAGCAGCAGCAATCGGGTAGCGGCAGCGCAGATGGTGACGCACATCATGGCGGTGGCGGACTCATTTCTCAGGGCAACAACCTGACTTTGTTCGCTACCACGTCAGGCGCCCGGACCTCCATGCGCGCAATCCCTGTGAGCGTGCCACGGTGGAACCCGTCGCACTTCGTCAACGTTGACGATAACATGGAGTACCAGATAATGTCCACGCTCATCCCCACGACGCCGGCATCTTCTTCGCCAGAAGGCCCGCTTATGGAAGATGGTGAGCTGCCAGGAATAACCACTTCCGTCCGAGTGTGCCGATGCTTCTTCATACTAAGTCAATCGCCTGTTCCTGCTAATCGGAATGGTCAGGATACCCGCGTGGAAGTCTAAAGATAAATTAAACGGAAGCAGATGTTTTTTCGTGAAGTTTGAGATGCACACATGCTCATCCTGCAATTTTTCTCCTCTGAACGGTGAACAGTGTTGTTACGTTTTCTGAGATTTCCTCTTCAGATTTAGCGATGTGACAAGACTGAAAACGCTTGACAGTGGGAGAGACTGTTCCACGAGAGATTTGCATGGTCATGAGCGTAAAAAGAACATGCAAATACCCGGTAGATGTATCCCAAGGATTAAATCTTCACGGGAAAAATATCAGCATTTCACTATTCAAGGAGCATTTTTTATACTTCATTGAATTCTGTAATGACCTTCAAGGATCGCTCGTATTTGTTGGAAGTGGCTTTGAACTTCATTCCTATACCGACACATATGGAAGCATCAGCATACATGTTTTCTATTTTAGTTAGATGTGTTTATTGCAGTGGTTTTCGTCAATAATCCTTGCATCCTTTTCCTGCTTTTTCCTCGCTTTTTTCATGCTCAACCCACTCTGTATCCATTTCCTGATTTGTGATCGCAGCGCAACGTGAGTTGTACCCCCTTTTTTATGCTTGGCTTAATATTCTTTCTCATTGATTCATTCGTGTAGTTCAGTAAATGATGGAGCTACTTTTGTAGCTTGAGAACGATCGCGTTGTCGGATTTGTTCGACTCCCGACTGCGTTATTTCTCCCGTGTTGGCGAAGTTCTGTGTTCTTTACGTCTTTGAATGACGATTTGCTTCTGCATGCAAATCTTGGGAATATTGACAATAAGCCGAACTTCAAAGTTTTTTTCGGAATTCCGGGATTATTCTGCTTACCGTCACAGACTTCATTGCGGAAGTTTTGAGTGAAGTTCACTTCGTAATTGTTGGCGCTTGATTGCCGGTAGAATTGGTCTTACGCATGAATGCCTTTCGTGGTTATGATTACTGTATATCGTGGTTGTGTCAATGCGAGCAGGTGGAAAGCAAGACGATGGAACCATGGAAGAGCATGTAGATCAGGAGCCAGACGAAGTAGAAATTGGTGTGGTGTGCATGAAGGAAAAGATTAATCGCGATATTCACGAACAGATCGGTATTTCAGCCCAGTCGGGGCTGATGGAGGAGCAGGAGGAGCAATGGGTGCAAACGGAGAGCCGGGATTGGACGGAATGGATCACGTCTCGGTGTCAGTCCCCATCACGGTTCCAGTGTCGCTCGGGCCGGGAAATGACGATGGGAAGCACGGAGTGACAATGGTCCCGCACCACCACCAACACCACCACCACCATCATCAGCAGCAGCAGCAGCTCGGCCTGCACCCGCACCACCTGCAGCACCACTGCATCTCTCGCCAGGCCACGATGTCAGTGATAGGCAAAGCTGAGTCCCCGTCAGCGTAGACCGACTTCTCTATCCGTCATCCGAATCACCTTCGTGTCCCATAGTGTCGAGGAAGTTGTTCGTTGAATGCAGATTCTTGAAGAGGAATCAATATCGGATCTGTTTCGTCAACAAAAGAAAAACAACGCGCAAAACTTCGGACGAGCGGCTGATTTTTTTTTTTTTTTTTCATTGGGCGGCGGTAAACCGAGTCGGTCGTCGCTGGTCACGACGAGTAATCATGTATATTTTTGCTCAATTTCGTTCCGATCGTGATTTTTAATACGGTATACGTCTTCATAGAGGTCGTTTTGATACAACTCAGGCCCCGCTAGCGGACTCGGGGGTTTGGTAGGCCGTTCTCTGTCGGAGTGCTTTCCGCGTGATGCAGCAGAGCGTTTTATTTTTCGAGAGACGCAGCCCCAGGACCCGGGTCCCCCGTCCGCATCCTGGGGTCCTCCCAGCACCCAAAGGTCTAGTCCCGCTTGGTTGTGTCGTCCAGATCTCGATCCTTTTTGTGTAGCTGAGCCGTGTGAAGGCTTTTCGAGTAACATGAGCTAGTCAGGCGTCCCCAGCTCCTTTAGGTCTCGTCGTCCCACACTCACAGATTGCCCCAGCCCATGCAGGGCGTTGGTCGGGTCATGTCAGGTCGTGTGCCAACCAAATAAGTGATGTTGAAAGGCTGTGAGGTACCGGTACCACGGGAAGTCAAAAGAGAGGAAGAGATAAACGAGGTTTCCTACAAAACGTGTGTGGACGTCCAGATGAAGTTGATGATGACGAACATGAATTTGCTAGCTTCTGTCAGGATTTCTTCCCGTGTGGACACGAAACCCATCGTTGGATTGAAGGGTCCCGACTAACCCTTTTTTCTTTCTTTAAAAGCGTCGCGAGATAAGAAACGCAAAAGCAAGTGTGTTCAGCGGTTATTGGTGCCACCCAGTCCCAGATTATTACGCTTTGTTGTTGAGGCTCGGGGACGCATTTCTACTTTTATTCTGTGTTTTTTTTCTCCACTGCTTTGAACTCCTTGATTGGCGGCGCCGCGAGACAACCCCGTGTCGGCGACACCGCCGCCATGCTGGCTGGGTTACGAAGTTTCTGCCCATCCCCACGGCAGATGCATTCGTAATCCTGCCTTCCGATGTCACGGAGAGCTTCATTTTTTTTCTTTTTCTACAACGAGAAGTGCGTTATTTTGAATTGATTCATTTTGCTGGGGAAACTTGTGGGTCGCGCTGGAGTTGCCCTAATCCCCTGTGGGTTGACAACGCGTGTTCCCGCTCGGTTCTTCCTCGGCGGTCTGAAATAAGCCTGAAAGCAATAATGCGTCCGAGCGAATCGTGAGAGCTGTCATTTATATTGTTAACCGCATTTGTTGAGTCGTGAGCGTGTCGCAGTAGTGAGCCAGCAACTGGTGTGCATGTGATGAAACGTCCAAGTTGGTCGATCGCATTCGACCCGCAGTATTGCACAACTATTTCGAGATGTCGGTCTGTAATAGAAGCCCGGCCTAGGAAAGGGTCATACCTGCTATTTTGTACCGGTACCTTACGAGTGAAAACGAGAATTGAGGAAAACAATTTTCAAGTGATTGTCTTAAAGCGACTGATGAGGAGGAGACTTGGAGTTTCGTACGTGCGATCCCGACTCTGTCCTGTGAAACGAGAAAATTTTTACAAGTTGATAATGGCCAACTTCGTTCCTTCCAGGAAACTTGCGTGCCTCTAAAAATTGAGAAATGTTTCTTCGTGGGTTGCTGATGTGGACTAGAGAGCGATAGAAGTGCCAAGTCTTTTTCCACTAGGTTGATCTTCGACTAACGTTTTAGCAGTCGTTGTAAAGTCTTTCTTCTCTGGACAAGAGGGAGAGTATTGATATTGCAATCTTGTGGCCAAAACGACAACTGTTAGTGAATGCCTTGCTCCAAGAGACGATCGATAGGTTCGTTTTTCAGATTTTTCTCTAAATCTATAGTCTTGTGTTTTGTATGAATTATGTTGTGTATATTTATCATGGGTGCGGTGGATTTGATGAGAAAATCGTTCGGAAAGAACAATATACCAGTAGTCCATAGTGACATAGCAATACAGTGTTTGCTGAAAAATGACGCAAGTGACATTTATTTTGTTCATTTTTCCCTTGCTTTCCCTGACGAACTTGCCGTCTTTTTTGTTCTTCTACCGTCTGCTCTTCTCTCTTCTTTGATACTGCCTGCAATTCAGTTGCAACTGAAGGCGTCTTGTCCTGGCAAAGAGTCAACTTGGCTGACGAGTGCATGAGAGCTAAAAGTATTATTTGTCCGTTTCAGTTGGATATCTTCTATTTATTTTTAATCTCTGAATGCACGAAATACAGAGATTTTCTTCTGGTGAAATGAGGTAGATGAGGAGCTTGCATGATGATCGACTCTTGTAGCTCCTAAAGTTGTGGAGGCGATCGACGATGTGAAACAGAGAATACAAAGGTACGTTGAACGACTCCTTTGCAATCGTCATTTTTGTTTTTGTTCTCAACTCCCTGAGCGCGCTCTTCATAAACAAGGAAATTTAAAATTTGACCCCGACATGCTGTCCCAGTCTTGTAATCGTGCAGTGCCGGCTCGACCTCTGCAAAATATACATGCGACGTTATTCGAACCACGTTCAGTTGTTTTCCTTCGCTCCTTCCTTGTGCACATGTTCTTCTGCATGGGCGCACAGTAGTTTTGAGATGAACCGGTCATTTCTTGCGAGGTTCTGTTCGTAGCGATTGCATAAAATGCCAATATTTTTTTAAATCGCGAAGATTTTGTGAAATTATCATGTTCGCTTGTGCTGCATGAGAAAAAATTGAAATATTAAAAGAAACTCATGAAATCACGGCGCAATACAGGTATCGAGTATGAATGATGTGGTGGATTCATATGTAGTGCATCCATACTCGCCATTCGAACATTGCTAGCTTTATGGTATCCAGAAATTGCAAGAGCAGTTTCCAATTTATTGAAATATAGTAAAAGAAATGAATTCGTTATCCCAAGGTGGAAGGAATAAGGGATCCATAAAATGTGAAGCTTATTTTACCATCTACTTCAAACGCACGGAATACTTGAACCTGTGGAAGTGTTCATTTTTAACTTTTTAAATGTGAACCAAAAAACGTTATGGAAAAAATTTAAGAACATTTGTGATTCATGTGTGGTTCAATTGTACCTAACGTATTTTGAATATAATTCCTTCAATTGTACAACCTATCAGAATTGTTGAGAGAAAAATCATTTAAGGACCCGGAATGCAGATTTCCTGTCCCACTCGCGCATTTGCAAGATAAAGAAAAGCGTCATCTCAAATTCTTCTTGATCTGATTAATTCCTATCAGGGGAATTTATTGTGTTGGAACTAATCACATATTCTTGTTATACATTATTTTTGGTTTCAACAACATTTTCTGTGGACTGTGACAAGAAAGTGGCTCTCCCAACCTCTCTTCTCTCAGAGTCATTATTGTTGTTGGCACATTTGTGCTGGACACTTTTTCAAAGGTGCAATGATGGACCAATCATCAAGTGCTCATGGATGACTTCAATAAAAAGATCAATGAATGAAATTCAAGGGGATGCTGTTTGAGTGGACGAATAATGCATATAGAGAAAAACTACTGTACAGTATTTGGATTTTTACATTATTTTTTACCTTGTTGGAAAATATTAGCGTTGAACTCCTGTGCTTTGCTGGAGATTGAATGGCGAACCAGGGGTGTTAATTGCAGCTGAAAAGTGTGTGCCGCAAATGCAAGTGGGATTCAAACTTTTTACTGCAACTGCACACGGAATTTCAAAGGCTCTAAAAATTTTCCCGCAATAGCACCCCCACAGGTATAACCAGAAACTTTATGTAAATGTCGCGAAACATTTGCAATTGCATTTTAAAAAGAATCCTCAAGTTAGGACACTTACAACTGCAATAAAATATGAAATTCAAGCAAAGGCATTCTAAATTTAGGAAGCAAATAATTCATGTGAAAACCAGCCCATTAAAAGTGTGCCCAGAAACAAAATTACTGATGCTATTGCAGTAGTGAATTTGAAAAATGCCATTCAAGTGAAAAAAAGAGCAAGAAGCATTGGTGGCTTCAAGTGTTGGCAATGATCTAGGGATTGACTCAGGCAAAATGTATTGTCATCAATATATTTTCTGGCATTCGCTATCACCTAGCAGACAATGCTTCATGCAGCTGCATTGCCTGCCTGTCTCTTGTCCTTGCTGCGTGCTCCGCCACCGAGTCACGCACCAAGGGTTATGCAACCCTCCCCAAAATAAGGTCAGATAAGGTGCAACCACAGTTGCACAATTCATATGATCCAAGTCTATAAAGCCACCTGTTCTTTCTTAACTGTATGCTCATTGCTGTCTGGCCATTGTTTGAGTCTGTCATACATATTTGTCAAATATGGAATAAAGCTTCTTTTACTATATTTCAATAAATTGGAAACTGCTCTTGCAATTTCTGGATACCATAAAGCTAGCAATGTTCGAATGGCGAGTATGGATGCACTACATATGAATCCACCACATCATTCATACTCGATACCTGTATTGCGCCGTGATTTCATGAGTTTCTTTTAATATTTCAATTTTCTGCAGTATCACATTTTTCTACTTGAGGAGTTCTTGAATTAACAACCTGGCAACAGGAATAAGGAAATCTCCTCTTCAATAATTTGTCATATTAGTTATTAATAAGCTTGCAATGGTAAGTTTAAGTGGATTATAGTTTTGAGACATTCAAGTTTGACATTCACTCAAGATCTAAAAATAACTAATATCTGACAACAATATTTTCTTCAATGATCAACATGCTTGAATTTATGATTTGAATTTCTTCACATTTATTCCAACTCAGAAAATTAATTTCAGAAGAGCCAAAAATTCCCAATACACATACAAAATTTTACAATGATTCAAGTGGATTGAAAAACTATTCATTTGATTCAGGTTATAAATTTCTTGAACATTTATTGAATGTGATTCCAGGTCTA